GACGAGACAAGATGGGCCTCATGGGATGGGGTGGAGTCGGCCCCTTTTTTTTTTGTAGGAGTACTGCTGTTTATTCATATTTATTCAGCCACTGATTAGCTGATCGAATTGGGCATAAAATCCAACTTAATTTTTTTTTAATTTTATTTTTTTCTTTTTATATTTATTTATTGAATCACTGTGGGAAAAGTTACTAAGCTTTTAGGTTGAAGTCTCGGTCATACAATGATCAAACACCTTTCCCTTCACCAGTACTCATTTTTCACCACCAAGAACCCCAGTATACCCCCCTCCCACCCCTCAAAATGCCTGTGAGGCAGATGATTTCTACTTAATTCTTCTCTACATTGATTACATTATTTCAACAAAAGATGCACCATTATTGTTTAGAATTTCCCTCCAAACAATCAGAATTGCTGAAAAGGCATTGTGAAATATTTTGTTTTCTATAGCTGATTATGAGAATCATATAATGTCACACGACCACGATTTTGGATTTCTGCAAAGAGCCAGATAATTACGAGATTGGTTTCTGTGTGTCTGGTGTTATGGCCGAGCTGGAGAGCTGCTCGTCGGGGGTAACTTGTGACCTCAGTAGGGCGTGAAGGATGTGTGGGTACTGCCCCCCTTCCCATGAGACTGCAGTTGCTCCGTCACCACCGGCTCGTACCTGGCTTTCCTATAAGCTCTGAGGCAGCGGCCACCTTGCTGCCAGGGGGGAAAAAGGCGGAAGGGAGCAACACCCTTTTCCTCCTGGGGAGGCATGGCGCCGTAGTTTAATGCATGGTCCATTCACTTTTCTTCTTCAAGCTGCTGGGCTCTGGACCAAGTTCTTTTGCCTCTGGAGCCATGGCCATGCCAGAGAGCCGCTTGTGAGGGGCAGCTCATGACCTCGGTAGGGCGTGAAGGACGAGTCGGTACCATCCCCCTTCCCATGAGACTGCAGTTGCCCCTTCACCGCCGGTTCATACCTGACTTTCTAATAAGCTATGAGGTGGTGGCTACCTTGCTGCCGGGTGGGGGGGTGGAGGCGGAAGGGAGCAACACCCTTTCCCTCCTGGAGAGGCATGGCGCCATAGTTTAACGCATGGTCCATTCACTTTTCTGCCGCAAGCTGCCGGGTTCTGGATTAAGTCCTTTTGCCTCTGGAGTCATGGCCATGGCAGAGAGCCGCTTGTGGGGGGCAACTTGTGACCTCAGTATGGCGTGAAGGACGAGCCGGTACCATCCTCCTTCCCATGAGACTGCAGTTGCCCCATCACCGCCAGGAGCCGGCCCTTTCCTCCCCGTCCCAACAAGACCCTGAGTTACTGCTCACAAACGGCCTCTCTGGCTCCTGATTAAGCTGCTTAACAACCATGATCCAAGAGAGTCAGGAACCAATCTCGGAACCCAGCAGGTTTTGACAAGAAATCTCTCCAGATTTTTTTGTTAAAATTTCAGAATTTCAAAATTGCGTGGCCACTACTGCAGCTGCGCGACATATGTTATTCATAACCAGCGATAGAAAACAAATTGTCTACTGTTGCTTTTTCGGCAGATCTGAGTGTTGGGGTAAAATCCCAAATAATAATGGTGGGTCTGGTGTCAAAATATTGAATGTAATCAAAGTAGAGAGAGAGTAGTGTGGAAATCATCTGCCCCACAGGTAGGGGGAGGGTGTGGGATGGGGGTATATGGGGTTTTTGGTGGTGAAGGGTGTTTCATTGTATGACCAAGACTTAAACCCGAATGCTTTGTAACTGCTCTCACGGTGATTCAATAAATAAAATTATAAAAAATGGGGGGAAAAAAAGGAAGATGGAGTTCATGCACAATTCAATCAGCCTAATCAGTGGGTGAATGAAAAGCAGTACTCCTACAAAATAATAATAATAATAATAATAATAATAATAATAATACAGGTGAGAAACTATTTAACTAAAAAGAATGCCTTTAACCCTAGCTCAGATACTTAAGCACCTGAGTTGTCAAGCTGCTATGAAACCATATGAACGCACTGAACTGTGGAGAAGGCTTTGATCACAGTTCAAGCTGTATTCAGCACTAGAAAATTCATCATACAAATCCTTTATATAGAACAAGGAGAGGCAGGCTGGAGTGATAGTACAGCAGGTAGGGCATTGCATTGCATGCAGCTGACCTGGGTTCAATTCCCAGCATCCCATATGGTCCCCTGAGCACTGCCTGGAGTAATTCCTGAGTGCAAAGTCAGAAGTAACCCCTGAGCATCGCCAAAAAAAAAAAAAAAAGAATGAGAGGGCCTTAAATATCATTACTGATGGAAAATTCTAGACTGCATAAGGGTGAGAGATCTTTAAAATACAAGGAAGGTGGGAAGATATTTAATCCCCACTCAAAATATTTTTTTTTTCTTTTTGGGTCACACCCAGCATTGCTCAGGGGTTAGAAATTACTCCTAGCGGTGCTTGGGGGACCATATGGGATGCTGGGGGTTGAACCTGGGTCGGCCGTGTACAAGGCAAACGCCCTATCCACTGTACTATTGCTCTGGCCCCCCGACTCAAATTTTGTTCAATTAGAATATTCACAAAAGTGAGGAATGGGGGAAGGCATCTAGTTATCACCTGCCCTGTCCTCAGCATCTGAAAACTTAAATTGGTGAGAAACCATTTGCTTTATTTCTTTTTATTCCTCTCACCATATTGTTCTTGTTGTTGTTGTTGGTTTGTGTTGCAACTATGGTGCTCACTTATTTAGTTGTGGTGCTCACCTGACATTATACATCAGGTTACAGAGCTCATACATTTGGCCCTGGTACTTTCCGAGGTTTGTGCTCAGGCACGTGATGATTGTAGTGCTTGCTGAGTGTTGTCAGGGTGCTTACACATGAGCTCACCGGGTCATACTTCCTCATTTAAACCTGTATAAATAAACTAAATTTATTTATCTCGCCCGCACGGCAGAGCCTGGCAAGCTCCCCGTGACGTATTCGATATGCCAAACACAGTAACAACAAAGTCTCCAATGGAGACGTTACTGGGCCCGCTCGAGCAAATCGATGATCAACGGAAGGGCCTTTACCTTTACCTTTTATTTAATACAATATACTATCTGAGGTCTGGAGCAATAGTACAGCGGGTAAGGTGTTTGCCTGGCACGTGGCTGACCCAGGTTCAATATCTGGCATCCCATAGTGTCTCCCAAGCACTGTCAGGAGTGATTTACTGACCATGCTCTTCATTTCTGTCATTTCTGGTTGTAATTTTCCCATTTTGACTCTTACACTTTTTTTTTTTTTTTTTGCTTTTTGGGTCACACCCAGCGATGCTCAGGGGTTACACCTGGCTCTACACTCAGGAATTACTCCTTGCGGTGCTTGGGGGACCATATGGAATGCCAGATATTGGGTCATACTTCCTCATTTAAGCCTACATAAATAAACTAAATTCATTTAATACAATATAGTATACTATCTGAGGCCCCCGATTCTTATACTTTTTTTTGTGTTTTGTTGACCACGTCATCATTTCTTTGAATTCATTAAACATCCTCATAATGGTGTCACTAAAATTATTGTCTGAGGATTTCCTGAGCTAGTTGGTGTTATTTGTGCCTTCAGTGATAACTGTTTTTGCTCAGTGATATTGTTTTGATCTTGGACTTCTATGTGTTTTCCCATTGGTGTTCCATTGCTCTGGCTGTGCGAAGGGTGAGTCTTTGTAGTTAGACCCATTGGAAGATGCTGAGGCATCAGGCTCTGAGTGTTGCTCTCTTCCTTCTCTGCCTGTTTTCGCCAAATGACAGAATGTATAACTTAGCAGTGTGTAATTTGCTGAGTAAAGCTGTCGTGCAGCTCTATGTGCAGCCGTGCAATTTAGCTGTGCTTCTCCTGGCATGTTAACGTAAGTCCAGTGTGGAGGCAGCTGGGATTTAGCCAGGAGGGACTCTGCTTCCTGTTCTGGGCTACGCCCAGTGAGGTCAGCTGGAGACTACCCTCACCTTGAATGAAGGAGCCCAGCTATGTGGCGCTGGGGATTGAACCCGGGTTGGCCACAAGCAAGGCAAGCACTTTAACCAACTGCACCATCTCTACCACCAAGCTGGTTGATTCTTTAGCAAAAGGAAGCAACAGCTTACAGAGTAAGGACAAGTCTGAATGCAAGCCACTCCAGCAGGTTACTGACCCTGAAGAGCTTTTCCCAGAACCCCTCAAATAAAATTGGCAAAACATCTAATGAGAACCCGCAGAAGGTTGGCAACCTGTGCCTTCCCCAGAACTGGGCTGAGTTCTGTATTGTCAGTCACAACGTAACTTCCATGACTGGGAACAGTTCCATGAAGAGATGACCTGTTCTTTAGAACAGATGTCCAGATTTGGTTTGGGGGCCACACCTTGTCATGCTCAGGGATCACCCCTGATAATGCCTAGGGGACCATATGTGGTGCCACATTTTGGACCAGGGTCAGCAACACGTAAGGCAAGCGCCTTAGCTGCAGTAGCCTCTCTCTGGCCCTAGAATTCTCTTTTCGTTGCTATACCTCCAAGAGTGAGGGAGGCAGGAATCCCAGCAAACCAAATGGTCGACTTGTGGGAAATGTGGGCAGGGACACTTGTACCAGCTTTCTGGTGGTGAAGGGCTTTCTTAAGTGGTCAAGAGCTAGCTAGCCTGAGGTGTACAATCTCTCCCTCTCCCCAAATTTCTCGTGTCATTTGGTTGGAATTCTTTGCTTCTCTCTCGTTTTCTGTTTTTAGATCAGACTGGAAGTAGTACCCAGGGCTTACTACTGGTTCTTAGCTCAGACTCCCCGCGTGGGCAGCTGGGACTCCCCCTGTGGGCAGCTCAGAGGATCATATGGAGTGTTGGGGATCAAACTCGGGTCAGCTGGGGTGCAAGAAAAGCACCTCCCCCACTTCAGACCCCTCTTTACTTCTCTTGCCCCAGGCTGGAACCCTGTTCTCCTCCCGCTTGTCTGATCATAGGAGCCTTTTCAGGGCCCAGATTCACTAATGGAATTAGCTCTCTGAGAAATGAAATGGATTTCATCTTGTGTATTTATTGACCAAACCAATCCTGGATAAAGAGAAAAAGAGAACAGGGTTTGGGGACAGAAGCTGGGGAGGTGAGAGACGATGGCACCTGGCTCCTGTGGTGGGGCAAGGGCAGGATCACTTGTAAAACTCATGCTCCTGCTCATCCTTCTTGATGACTGTCTTATAAGCTTTCTCGAAGTCCTTGGCCAGAACAATGTAGCGATTCTCCCTGACTGCCAACATCCCACTCTGTTGAGACAGAAGTGAAAAATGGGCTCTTGCTGGTGAAGGTGGGTGTGGTTAACATGAAAACTTAAAGATATTCAATCTTGTAAACCAAAGTTACCTCACTGGAGATAACTTTGTTGTTGGGCCACACCCAGCGATGCTCAGGGGACCATATGGGATGCCAGGGATTAAACTGGTCAACTACATGCAAGGCAAGCACTCTCCCCCTGTACTATCTCTCTGGTGTCAAAATGCTTAAATTTGTATATATAAGTCTCTAGCCTTAGTGAGGGTGGAGGAAGACATGGGCAGGGCCAGCCCCCATGGAAGCAGTGAGGGAGAAAAGGAGGGCAGCAGAGGGGGTTAGATCTCCACTCACCCCTGCCCTAGTGTTAGAGCAACACCTTGACTCACCTCCTGACAGATGGAGTTGATGTCAGCTCCAGAAATCTTATCTGGCCGGGCCACATCTGCAGAGAGGAGTTAAGCAAACTATTCTTTGTAGGACCCACTGAGTGCCAGGGGCTGGAAGCCACTCCCCACCCCGGGCACCAGTCTCCACCTCCCACCCCTCTGGACCATGGCAGAAAGGACAAGATTCTTTCCCAACTGCTACCCATCCCGTCCTCTGAGGGCAGGATACAGTCTTCCAAGTCCACCTCCTCTGAGAGATTCATTTTGCTGGTGATAGTGGAGAAGATTAGCCTCTTCTGGCGGCGGTCAGGGAGTGGGAATTCGATCTTCCGGTCAAGGCGGCCAGGCCGCAGCAGGGCGGGATCCAGGGTGTCAGCTCTATTAGTCGCCATGATCACCTGGCACAGGGACAGGCTGCCTCAGATTCCTGTCTCCAACCCCTCCTCCCCATCTCTAGCCCTCCCCCACTTCCCTTCCACACCCTCCCCCCAAATTCGAACCTTGACATTCACATTCTGGTCAAACCCATCCATTTGATTCAGCAGCTCCAGCAGAATTCTCTGAACTTCTCTGTCCGCTGGACAAAGCACAGCACGATCAGTCTGGGGTGTCCCACGCAGCCACCTGGCCCCACACCCGAGCCCTGTTTGGGTGTGTATCCTGTACCTCCCGTCTGGGCGTCAAATCTCTTGGTGGCAATGGCATCAATCTCATCGATGAAGATGATGGCAGGGGCATTCTCCTTGGCCAGGCGGAAGACATCACGGACCATGCGGGGGCCCTCGCCCAGGTACTTCTGTACGAACTCGGAGCCCACGACCCTGATAAAGGCAGCTGAGGACAGTACAGGGGACCAGGGTTGGGGCCTGCTCTGCTGTGACGGGAACTGAGACTCCCCCTGTGGACAGCCCTGTCTTTGGACGTCCACTTCCACTAACTGGGTTGCCCTGTCACCTGGGCTGGGGCCTGGCAACCCAAACAATGAAACATATCAACAGTTGCATCATTTTGGAGGTTTGGTGTTTTAAAAAATAGGAGTTTAAAAGAATAAAAAATTGCATCTAGCATCCAACACATCCATATGGAGAGAGGTGATATCAACTATGACTCAAAGACAAAAAATAATCTGTGTTTCTGGAGTGCTTGGAAAAACAGTAAGAAACCAGGGCATCTCACTGCCTCATGGGGAGTGCCATATTCTGGGGAACTCTCCAGGGATCGGCTTTGGAACAGCGAGCAAGAGCCAGAGACCACGGGCCCATCCATTGGTTCTCCGCCTTTTTGTTTTAGGACCAGACCAGGCATGGGGACCACACAGAGCCAGGAGCAAACCTGCCAAGCAGAGCATGTACTCCAGCCCTTGAGTTCTCAGCCCGCCTACTTGTAATTGTGGGGTCCACTCCCAGCATGCTGTGGCTGGGCAGTGCTCTGGGGCCACCAGCACTGCATGCAGCTATCCCTGGTCGGGGAAAGGGGAAATGCAATGCTCAGGATCAAAACCAGGGTCATGTACAGGCAAGGCATACACTCCCATCACTTGGGTAGCCCCTCCTCAGCTTTCTGAACCCCCTTTGAACACATGGATGCCAGCAGGCACTATCCTGGCTCACACTTGGAGGTGGCTTCATGAACACACTGTAGTGCTAGCATCAACAAGTTAACCTCTTAGTTTAATACAGCCTGTTTCTTGTTTGATTTCAGTTTTGGAGTCAAACCCAGTGACCATCCATAATGCCCAGGTGTTAACCTCCGGGTCAGCCATGTGTAAATTTAGCACCCTACCCGCTATCCTACTTCTCTGGCTCCACTTAAAGTTGCCTGTTTCTAAATCACCTACTGTATTTTCAAGGACCAATCCCCAGGCCTTCCTCCAAGCGCCTCGGTGCTGGGAGAGACAGGGTCCTTTCCCTAGACCTGGTAGTTTTGTGTCCTAACTGGGAGGTATCATGAGTATGCTGCAAGCTCAGGCACTGACAAGATCCATCTCTGACCCCTGGTGCCACATCAAGCTTTGCCTTGGCATCTAGATGGTTCCCTGGCAGGAGCCAGAGAGACAGTACACAGAGCTGAAGAAGCGGGCTTGGGGGTATGGGGCTTTGGGTTCAGCCCCTGGCACAGCATGGCCCCTGAGCATCGCTGGAGTAGCCTTGATGGCCCTCACTCTCCCTGGGCCTAAGCAACAACATATCACGGGGGCTTCCAGGGCCCTGAGAGGACCTGCTCAAGGACTATTTTAAAATGAATTATTCTTGAAGCTGAAAAGAGAATGCAGGAATGAAGTGCTGTCCCTGCATGTGGCCAACTCCAGTCCAATCCCCAGCACCACATATAATCCCCTGACAAGGAGTGATCCCTGCACAGAGCCAGGAGTTAAGCCCAGAGCACAACTAGGTATGGCCCCAAACCACCTGTCCCCCCAAAAAAACTTTCACATGGCACACCAATCTCTGAAATTCTCTATCTCACGCTCTCCCTAAACAATAGGCCACTGCAGTTCCATGTCCCAGTCACCTTCCTACCCACCTCCGTCTCTCTCCCATGAGGTCACGTAGACAGCGCACATCCACACATCCCATCTTCCTTGTCCCAATTGGTAGATACCCACGCCCGGTATGGTCACCGATAACCACCTGGGTAGCCAGGGAGTGGCTCCCAACTCTGTCTTACCAACCGCAGTTGGTCAGTAAGTAAATTCTGGGGCTGGAGCAAGACTCAGTGGGCTGTGCACATGAGTCCTCCCACCACTGAGCCTGGAACAGGCCCCTTGCCTCCACCCCCTTCCCCCAGTACCACCCAGTGTGGCCTCCAAATAGAAGATAAACAAATGTAGAGGCGGATTTCAAAGACACTAGCTCAAAAACACTAAAAATGCATTAAGTGTTCAGCAACAAATGAGGGATAAATTAAAGGTGGTATATATGCAAGACTGATTATTCAGCCTTACAGAGGAAAGAAGTCCTGACACACTTTACATGAATAAAATGAAGTAAGTCAGTCACAAAAGATACATTCTATACATTTATATTCCACTTATACCAGCACCTGACACAGGCAAATTCGTAGAAACCGACAGAATAGGGAAGCAAAGGGATGAGGGGTGGAGGAGAAAGAAGCAGTTACTGCCTGAGGGTCCCAAGCATCAGTGGGGGACGAGAAGATGACAAATGAAATAGTAGGTGGCTGGGTAACATTGTGATAACGTTCTTAATGCCACTGAACTGCATCAAAAGCGCTGGAATGGAAATCTTAAGATAAAAGGGTCACAGAAAAAGCCTTTAAGGGAGGAGGAGGGGAGAGGGACAGAGAGAGGGAGACAGGACAGAGAAAGGGAGAGGGGACCGGGGGGAGGGAAGAAGAGGAAGAGAGAGAGAGAGAGAGAAAGAGAGAGAGAGAGAGAGAGAGAGAGAGAGAGAGAGAGAGAGAGCGAGCGCTTGTTTTGCATACAGCTGACCTGAGTTTGATCCCTGGCACCCCATATGGTCCCCTGAACACTATTAGGAGTGATCCCCGAGCACAGAACCAGGAGTAAGCCCTCAGCACCATCAGTTGGGGCCCAAAAGAAAAATCCTTCAATTTATCTGCCCATGTGAAAATATTTTAAGTGTGCTGACGAAAGCACATGAGCAAGTTCACCTACTTTTGAATTCATTTTCAATAACAGAATTAGTTTGGGACTGAAGAGATAGTACAGTGGATAGGGCATTTGCCTTGCATACAGCAACCCAAGTTTGATCCCTGGTATCCCATACGGTCCCGAGTCCTGCTGGGAGTAATTCCTGAGTGCAGTCAAGAGTAACCCCTGAGCATCACCAGGGGTGCCCTGGCCAAAAAATAAAAAACAAAACAAAGATAATTTTGTTTTCGATTATACACGTGTCTGTCTCTTGACCTCTATGTGTCTACAACTACCTTATTCCCAGGGCAATTCACAGAATCTCTTAGAGGGGCAAAAAGGTTATTTCTAGTCAAGCCCTTTCTCACCTCCTGGAGACCCAGTGGAACTCCCCACTTCAGCCTGTTACTCAGCATTTTCTGAATACCTACTTCCTTGTGATTACTGAACAGGGACCACAAACATAGGAAAGAACAAAGACAAAAGCTCTCTCCGTGTGTGGAGTCTAGGCTTGGCCTATTCAGACTCCCTCAGGGAACTCTTTCCTACCCACAGATCTTTGCACATGCCAGCGCCCCCACTAGATGCCTTCTCCCCCTGCATGTCCAACACACTCCTTACAAGCTGCTTCCTCGGGGAAGGCTGCCCGAGAGACCCCGACAGGAGGGTCTGACCTGCCTCCCGACTCGTGCAGATGGTCCCTTCTCCACTTGTCTTCTCTCCACAAAGCCCTTCCTGCGGGCTTCAGCTCTAGGCACCTGGTCCCCTAACATGAATGAGCATGCCTGCCTCAAGACCTCCGGGCCCTACAGGCCCTCAGCCTGTGACTCCCATTCCCCACCCCCAAGTATTTAGGTCTTTTTGCAAACATCACCCCAAAACGTCTCCCTGACCATTTCTTTTCCCCAGCACAGTCACGCCCCTTGGGTTCTCTGCCTTGCTTACAGATTATCTACGTGTGTGTGTGTGTGAAGTCAAGTGCGTCCCCACCATGTTCCAAGCCATGAGACTGCTCTGTTGGCTGCCATGTTTCCAGCACCCACAACCCTGTCAGGCACATAGTAGGTGCTCAGTGAATATTGACAGACTGATCAAGCCCAAGATATCTCCCTCTGTTTCTAGCCACCGGGAGCTCATCAAGAGTTGTGGCAGTTTCCCAGTCTAGGGTCTGGGGGAGCAGGACTCCAATGACTGGCGAGTGAACGCAAGCCCATGACCCTGGCCAACATGGAAGGGGTAAGGGTGGGGGCGAGGGGGAACGCTGCCCATGTGCCAGGGACAGTTTTAAGAAGCTTGACATTGATTTAATTCTCTGAACAACTGAGCAAAAGAAGAGTTCTGGTTGTCTCCTTACACACCAGGAATGGGCAGCTGATTTTGAGGAGATCGTGTAAATAGGTAGAGGGAAGCTAGAGTTTGAAACTGGGCAGCCTGGCCCAGAAAACTCACAGCTTCTCTGTCGCCTTCAACTGCTCCCTGGTGAACATTTATTATGAATTTAATAAATGTGCTGACCCCTGTCCTTTGCTCTTAAAAACAGTAACTTTCTGATTTTTGCCTGGAACCTATAATAAGAAATACATTTATAGGTCAGGGATGTGACTCAAGTGGTAGAGCATAGCTGAGTCATATGTGGGGCCCTGAGTTCAATCCCTACCATTGCCTGCCCATCTACTGGGCTCCCAGCACCAAGGACTGTGGCCCCAAATGTGTGTGTGCATATGTGTGTATGCCCGTATGTGTAAAGTCTAGTTTTCCAAATCCATCCAGGCTCCTTGATGGCCTGGGGGTGGAATCTGACAATTCCTGTTGCATTTCATTTTTGGGGTGTGTGGGGGAATGTCTATTGACGCCCCCATGACTGTCCAGGTACTAAACACTCACTGCCCATTGTAGGAGAATCACCACTTAATTCCCCACCATCAGACTGAGCTGTGGAGGGAGATCGGTGGCTGAGAGGATGAAGTCACCGCCACAGAACCGCACCAGTCAGGAAAAAAGGAGGGACCCCAGGCCTGAACCCCAGAGCCCAACCTCTACCTGACTGTCTAATCCCCGCCTGAGGAAGATCTGAGAGGCAGGAATAAGGATGGATGCGTCAGGAAGGTCAGTGGTCTAGGGGAGGGGACCTTGCTACTCACCTGTCGTGTGGTGGGCTACGGCTTTTGCCAACATGGTCTTCCCACAGCCCGGGGGGCCGTACATGAGGACGCCTCGCGGAGGGTCGATGCCGATCTGGATCATAAGAGGGAGATGGAGGTCCATGAGCCGGCGGGGAGGTCTCTCACCCCCAAGACTCCGCGGCGCCTCTGGCCAGTCCTCACCTGCTTGTAGAGCTCGAAGTGTGTAAGCGGAAGCTCCACGGCCTCCCGCACCTCCTGCTTCTGGATGTCCATGCCCCCGATGTCCGCGTACATCACATCTGGCTTCTGATCTGGGGGGGTGGGGGTGGAGAACAATGCTCGGGCTCCCTGCCTGCCCCTCAGGGGTGCCCGCCCCGGCCATGGCATGTACCCCACCCCTCACCCCTCACCTGAGGTGAGCATCATGATGCTGCTGTCGGCCTCGGGGGGCAGCACGTCCACCAGCGCGTTGCTGTGCTTGTGGAGGGCCACTGACGCATTGGGCTTTAACAGCTCCCGGTCGATGGTGCTCAGGATGCGCACGTAGTAGTTGGAGCCTGCAAGAGGGGTGCATGAGGACAATGAAAAGTGTGGGTGACAATCTTAGAACTGGGCTGTCTACCCCACACACACACCGCCACCCACTTCAACACACCACTAGGCAGGTGGTGTCTCCTCCTAGAACAAACCTTCTTGCCTCCTCCAAGCTGTCCTCCCACCCCATCCCCTTCACACCAAGCGTCTTTTGGGCCAAGTGCATGTGGTCCATAGTGCTGACTCAGGGGCACTGGCCCATGGCCCAGCCCTCCCAACTTTCATTCGCTGCCTCCCTCTGGGTTCCTGATCTTCCCGAACATTGTGTGGCTCGTCCTGGACAGTCTCTGGGAGTCCTTGGGAGGCTCCCAGACGCCAGTCTCCAGCATTCCATGTGAGCCTCTTCCCAGTCCTTTTCCACCTTCCCTCCATGGCCCACTAGCTACTGTGACCTGTGACCCAATCCCTGTGAACTTCCACCCTGTCCCTGGATGTCTCTCCAACTGCTCCCATCATGGACCTGCTCTGCCTCAGGCCAGCCCTTTCCAGCCTCAGGCTTCCTGTCTTATTCCTCCCACCCGCCTTCTGCACCTCAGCAAGTGATGCTCGTACCTCTTTCCTGACCTTCGCACAAGTTGTCCAGCAACTTCCTGCACTCCCACCCCAAGTCCCTGACTTCCTGTCATTGCTCCTGTGCAAACTCCTCTGGCCATGTCACCATCCCCAGGAGAGCCCTGCTGGGCCCTGAATCCAAAGACACAGGTCCTGAGGCTAGAGCGATAGCACGGTGGGTAGGGCATTTGCCTTGCACGTGGCCGACCCAGGTTTGATTCCCAGTAACCCATAGGGTCCCCCGAGCACTGCCAGGAGTAATTCCTGAGTGCAGAGCAGGAGTAAGCCCTGTGCACCACTGGGTGTGACCAAACCCCATCCCCCCCAGCCCTCCCACCCCCCCAAAAAAGGCACAGGTCCCTCCAGAATCATTGCCCTTCCCTTCCTCTCAGTCTCAGCCGCACGCTTTCCAAACCTTCAGGGGAGTACAGCCCAGTCCAGAGCAGAGAGCAGAGCAGTAAAGGAAAAGACACTCGGAGGGCAGAAAGTCAATTTAGAGGGTCAAGTCAAGCAGGGCTTAAAATAGAAACAGGTAAGAACAGAATGAAAAATACCAGAGAATGCCCCCTACAGTCGGGCTACATGTATTATGTTCCAGAGGTCTGTGTGTTTATAGGTGAAACACATCCATATACATATTATGATAGAAAGAAAGCATGTAAAGCACATTTCTGCTTCTGAATCAGAAACCGAAGACTCTGTACAACACCATTACACTGTCTTGCCTTGTCTGTCGTTATTGGACCCTGGCTCAGTTCCTGGCACCTGCCAGCTACCAGTTGTTTATGAACAGAGCCCCTCTAAATCCCACTGACCACCAGACCTGTGGTGGAGCCCACGATGGCTGTATTCTGATCCACAGCCTCCAAAAACTGCCCGATGACCAGGGGGATGCTTTGGATTCGCTTCACCTCCTCCTGGGCATGGAGGAACTCCTTCTTCAGGTTCTTCTGCTCATCCTTGATATACTCCTCCTGCACCTCCAGAAACTCCAGCTCCTGCTGCAGCTTCTGCAGGGAGAGTGGGGCAAGGCTGAGGGTAGCTCCTGGCCATGCTCAGCCAACCAGGGTGGGGTGGGAGTGGGCATGGACAGAGGCTGCTGGGGTCCCAAGCAGGAACCAAGCTGGGGGGCTGCAATGTACCTTGTAGCGGCTGTACAGGTCCTCCAGGTCCTCAGGTTCAGGTGCTAGGAAGGACAGGCCAGTCTGGGGCCGTGACACAGACAATGCTGGGATCTCATCCTACACCAGAGGGAAACTGAGGTTGAAAGAGGCCCCTTGTGGAACAATCTAGAGTCATTTCCCCGCAATGACATTTAATCCCCAATATATTGATCACGTGTCACTCCTCTAATCAGCTTCTGATGTTCTTCAGCTCCCAACAACCCCCTTCCAACTGTAAGCACCCCAATATCTTTCACTTTCATACCTCTCCTACCACATCACCAGTGTCATTCAGTGAGATACTTGTCACATCAACTCCTTATCAGACTCCAAATCCTTCCCCTACACCGGGGTCTAAAGTCACAGCTCTCAGAGAGGTGATTCAGCTCTCCACCCCTTCACACTATATCCCATCACCCCGTTTCCCCTAATTGGAGAATCACAGAACCCCAACTCCCATTAGGTCCTTGTCATTCAACACCCCGAATCCCGGGGACCCCAAACATCAATTTGCTAGATCAGATGCTAGATGCTTCTCAGCTCCTGAAACCAGCTTGTGGCCAGTGGCCAGTCCAGCTGGACGCGACGCAGAGCGAGTGCAAGCAGCATGTACCCTGCGCGAAACCCACGCGCCCCGCTGAGGCAAGGGGGGGGGGGGGTTGTTAGGGGGAGGGGTCAGCACGCACGCCCGAAGTGACCTGGAAAGCATTCGGTCGCAGTCGACCTCAAACTCCTAGCAGTCGACCTCAATGCCCCCCTAGCTCTGCTTTCCGGGCCTTTGCTGCCTTCCTATCATCCCTCGGCCACCCCTGCGAGGCCTCGGTACCGCACCAAACTCCCGAACGGGGCCCCGGAAAATCACCCATCTCGGGCCCGGGTTCCCGCACTCAGCACCCGCACTCGGTTCAGTGGCTTTCCCCGCCTCCCCACAAGTCAGGTGCCACCAGACCTGAGCTTTCTCCACCAGGATGCCAATCTCCTCCATAGTGACCAAGCCACTCGAGTGTGGCCCGGCCCGATCCAGTCACCGCTTCCGCTGCCGCCACCGGAAGTCCACGGCCCGAGTGCGTTCTGGGGATCGTAGTTTAGGCCCGAGAACGCGTTCAAGCGTAGAGCGGGCTGGTCGGGCCCAATAGGACGGAGGAAAAAGGGAAGGCCACGCCCCGGGCTCCACCTCGCGGGGAAGGCGCAGGCGCGCTTGGCGCAGCGCGTCGGCCTGAGGCTACGCGTGCGTAGTAGAGCATATGAGCCGTAGCGGTCGCTGGTTTTCTGGGCGGTAGGGGGAGCTGTCGCGTCGTTCTTGGCTCTACTGAGGCATTCTCGAGGTCTGGGAAGGTCTAGTGACTTTCGTCCCAGTGGTGGGACGTTTTAGAGATGAAGGACGCTTTACGGGGTTTCCACACGGGGCTTGCGCCCGAGGCTTGTGTTAGCGTGGACTCGAAGACCCAGGCCGACTCCAAGAGCGACAAATTATAAACCTGGCTCCATTCTGGGTGTGAAACAGCTTCCCCCCTACCCCCATCCCCAGCCAGAGACCTCTAGTAGCCAATGCAGTGAAATCTTCAAGTCATGATTACAGACAGAGGCAGAGGCGCCGTGAAGCTGGGTCACGCAGGAGACCCGCAGTTCTGCGTCCAGCCTCGGTCCGTGCATAAACTCATCGCATCTTAGCGGCGTTCTGTTTTGCAGAAACAGAAACAACCTCCAAGCCTCTCCTGTCCCCAAAAGCGGATGGACTCAGGGGCCCCAGATCTGTCATCGAACTCGGAGCTTCCTGTGCTAGGGATACCTCGCTGTTCCTTCCACCAGCCACGGTTGTTGTTAAGTAATCTTGTGAATCGTTTTATTGGCCTACGAACAGGAAAGCCCATACGGCAGTAGTGTGGGGTGGAATGAATGAGCACAGAGCGCCCGTCTGTATAACCAGAACCCTGATCTGCAAACAAAACCTTATCAGTTCTCAGACTGGCCCCGCCATGCTTGGCCACCTTGTCCCCTCTAAAAGTGATTGTTTAAATAGGAGACTAACACCCAAGAATAGTCGAGATAAGTAACAGGAGGTTTACTCCATGGCTTGGAGGCCAGCCGCACACTCTAGGGGTAAAGGCAGTTCAGATAGAGAAGGGAGCACCAAATAAAGGGTATTGGGAAGATCCGCCCAGGATGGGAGATGCATGCTGAAAGTAGACTATAGACCGAACATGATTGCCACTCAATGCCTCTTTTGCAAACCACAGCACTCAAAATGGGAGAGAGAACAAAAGGGAGTGCCCTGCCACAGAGGCAGGGTGGGATGGGGGGTGGGAGGGATACTGGGATTAGTGGTGGTGGAGAATGGGCACTAGTGGAGGGATGGGTACTCGATCATTGTATAACTGAAACCCAAGTACAAAAATTTGTAAGTCTACAACTGTACTTCATGGTGTTTCACTAATAAAAACTTAAAAAATAAAATAAAACGATTGTTTGTTGTACACATTTCTAGACCCCTGTAGTTTATACTGTGTGTTTGGCTTCTTCTAAGTATATGTGGGAGATTCGTGTTGCTTGTGTGTTGTCAGTTCACTGTCACCTTGATTTGGTTTCTCTTGTGTCACTATAGGGCAAGCTAGCTATTCTCTTTGGAGCAATGCTGTTTGATATGACCATTTCAGCTCTTTGCTTTGGTGAACCTAGGTGAAATCGCGTACTCCAGTGTGGGATTTTCAGTTTTAGAGAAGATACATATTTAGGTCTGTAGACACAGACAAAACAGACCAACTTATACTACCTCCAGCTGTGTGTTCATATGGTGTTGACCCAAGCTAAGTTTGAATGCTTGCCGCTTCATAGCCAATATCCTCAGAGACGAAAATCAGTGTGAGAAAAGCAATGTTATTTGGGTGCTAGCAGCGTGAGCAGCCCAAGGCTTGTTCCCCTAACCCATCTTCCTCCCAGGCTGTGGTGTATTTGGTTATTTTGATGGGGGTCGCGTCATACCTGGTGATGCTCAGGGCTTATTCCTGGCTTTGTGCTCAGGGATCACTCCTGGTGGGGCTCAGGGGACTATAGGGGGTGCTAGGGATCAAACCCAGGTCGGCCATGTGTGAGACTCTACCTGCTATGCCATCTCTCTGGCCCCCCTCACATTGGTTTCTGTAGGGTTATTTCTATACTGGTAAGTCTGATAAACTTCAGAGATCTTTTCAGAGGCCTGCTTCACCTTCTCTGAGGATATGAGGGGTCCTTGGACATAAGTTCCAGGAGTTCTTTCAGAGGCCTGTTGCTTTCTTTCTCCCCACACCCCCTTCATTCGTTACTGTACCTGATACAAGCAACCACAGAGCATGAGAACATCTTTTAATGGGAACCCTGGGATCAGAGCAAGAGTACAGAGGCTAGGGCATTTCTCCTTGCATGGGACAAACCCGGGTTCCATACTTAACCACATATGGTCCCTGAGCCCCACCACGAGTGGTTACAGGTCACAGCCAGGGATCCAGAGTAAAAGCCAAGGAGGAAATAGGGTTGTAAAAAAAATTTTTTTAATGGGAGGTGCTGGGAGATAGTACAATGGATAGGGTGCTTGCCTTGCATGTGCTCAACCTGGGTTAAATCCCTGGCATCCCATATAGTCCCCTGAACACTACCAGGAATAATTTTAAGTACAGAACCAGTAGTAACTCCTGAGCATTGCCAGGTATGACCCAAAAACATTTTTTAAAATAAATAAATTAATCTCAGTCCCGGGACCTGCATGCCTTTGTTCCTCTGCCGGTACCTTCATGTGTGCGGAGAGTGGTCTCAGCATGGTGGTGGCTGGTTCTGGAGGTCTTCGGCTGCTGGAGCCCTGGTCGGGGCGGGGAGGGAAACTCAACCCGCTCCCCTCCAAGGGGCCCCGGCGAGGACAGCCAGGCGCAGGGGTCACATCCACTAACTGGCCCCCTGGCGCCGTTTAATCCCATCAACGGCCAAGACCCAGAGACTATAAAACCCAGCTCCCGGAAGAGAACAGCACAGAGTCTCCTGCCCCCGCGCCTGGCTGTCCTCGCCGGGGCCCCTTGGAGGGGAGCAGATTGAGTTTCCCTCCTCGCCCTGACCAGGGCTCTGGCAGCCGAAGACCTCCAGAACCAGCCACCACCATGCTGAGACCACTCTCCGCACACATGAAGGTACCGGCAGAGGAACAAAGGCATGCGGGTTCCGGGACTGAGATCTCCAAGCCTACTGGGATCAGGGCTGAGCATCCTCCACCCAGATCCTCCAAATTCCAGTAGGCGGGGGTCACACCCACCAACTGGCCCCCTGGCGCCGTGTAATCCCATCAACGGCCAAGACTCAGAGACTATAAAACTCAGCTCCCGGAAGCGACATCTTATTATCTCATTCCTACTTTGGACAAACTGGCAGGCTACCGAATGTAATCTGCCCACATGGCAGAGTCTGGCAAACTCCCCGTGGCGTACCCAATATGCCAAATACCAGTAACAATGATGGGTCTCATTCTCCTAACTCTGAAAGAGCTTTGAATATTGCACTTTTCTAAAAATCTCAGGGCTAGGACAAAGGCGATGTTACTGGGGCCTGTTCGAGGCAATCGATGAATAACAGGATGGTCGTGATCGTGATTGTGAAATAAATTAATCATGGAGCCAGAAAGTACAGTGGGTAAGGTGCTTGCCTTGCACGTGGCTGACCTGGGTTCAATCCTTGACGCCACATAGTGTCCCCCAAGCCCAGTCAGGAGTGACCCCTCAGCTTTGAGCCACAGTAATCCCTGAGCACTGCTGGGTGTGGGGTCAACCTCACACCCCTAAAAAATTCATTTGTGAGGATCTGGTGTATTCTTCAGAGCTGATGTTCCCTAACCTCCGGAGAGGCAGCCCATGGACACATTGCTATAGTGCTGTCTTTTTGTATGATTTGGATTCCCACTGTTTTTCTGAATCTGTGACAGCTAGTTTCAAACACACAAAAGTCACATTTAGAAGAATATCATGGATCAGGATTTTTTTTTTGTGGAGATCATACCCAGGGATTACTCCTGGCTCTGCACCCAAGAATCACTCCTGGCGGTGCTTCGGGAATGCCTATGGAATGCCGGGGATCGAACCCCAGAGGGCAACATGCAAGCCAAATGCCCTCCACCCTGCTCTGGTCCTGGGTCAGAATTTTGGAAACAAATCTTTCTGTGAGGATCTTGAGGGATTCAGAGTTCCCTACTTAAGGATATTTGCAGATCACTTGATCACTTGACATCCCATTATTCATCGATTTGCTTGAGCGGGTGCCAGTAACATCTCCATTTGTCCCTGTCGCGTGCTAGTGTAGCCCAATGGCATCTGTTCGTTCTAGGAACACGATGAGTCTCAAACTAATCGTTCAGAGTCTTGACGAAGAAGTCTGACCATCTCAGAGGTGGGTGGCCATGCGATCTTTTTTCACATCCTGTGGAATCCAATCGGTAATGACTCTAGTCCAGCAGTTGTCTCCAAATCACATTACGTGTCCAGCCCATCTGATTTTTTAAAATAATTTATTTATTTATTGAATCACTGTGGGAAAAGTTACAGAGCTTTCAGGTTTATGTCTCAGTCATGTAAATATCAAACACATTTCCCTTTACCAATACTTATTTTTAACCGCAAACCCCAATAGAACCCCACCTCCCACCCCTCCCAATTCCTGTGAGGCAGATGAGTTCTAGTTAACACTCTATCTACTTTGACTAGATTCATTGTTTCGATAAAAGATGCACCGTTATTATTTAGAGTTTATGACTCCCCCCCATCAGACATGCTGAAAAAGCGTTATGAAATGATTTGCTTTCTACAGCTGGGTATTAAGAATTAAATGATAGCAGCCGCGCGGTTTTGGATTTCTGCTATTTTACTTATTAACCCTGGAAGTATTTCTATTAAAAGTTAGATAGTTAAGAGATTGGTTTCTGTGCTCTGGAGTCGTGGCCGTGCCGGAGAGCCGCTCGTGGGGGGCAACTGGTGACCTCAGTAGGGCGTGAAGGACGGACCGGAACGCCCACCTTCCCATGAGGTCCCTGCCGCCCCCACCCCCGGCTCAA